AATGTATAAAATGAACTTCTCTATATTAATAAATAAATATAAATTACTTTGAATGCAAACGATTATGTTATAATCTTTGCTTAACAGTTATATACATATTTGATTGAATTGTCCGTGAATGACTAACTGTCAGACGCTGGTCGTGCATTGTTCGTTGATTAGACGCGTGTAGATTAAACCATTGAAAAACATACATCATCATTTGCATATATGTATGTATATACATATATTTTTTTACTTATTGCATTTGTGAATTACTTTCTACTCTCATTGTATTTGAATAATGTATTTTATCAAATGTATGAAATAGATTTTACATCTATTATATATTATAAGAGATACGTATGTAAGTATGTGTTTATTTGCCTTTGACCTCGACCATATGATTTACGAAAATTATGACAATACCCACACACGTATTCACTCGCTGTGACGCATACAAAGCGAAATGATAAGAGCATCAGATGACTGAAGATGATTGAATGAAATTTTATGCGGGTCATTCAAATTCGGAAGGTCGGCGTGAGTCAGTGCGGAGAAACGACACTATTTGTTAAACTCTCAATATATGGGAGGATTGCCGAAATATGTAGATATGAATTACAGAGTTTGATTTCAATTTTAGTTCATAGGATTTAAATTTAATTAAATATAACAAACATAGCGAACTAAAATAAACTAATGAATAAACTTTAGAACAATTTGGGGAATTGATTTCGCAGAAAAATTATATTATAAATAAAATATCAGTTTCAAATAAAATTTTTTTTTTTATGTTCCTATAATTTGTTTTATAATAAAATCTCGTACGGGATCATAAAGTATCTACATTAATTTCAGTATTCTCAATATAGAACTTCCATTTAAAACAGTACTAAGAAAAGTACTAAAGTGTTCTAAAATTTAGTACTAAATAAGATTTATGTTGAAAATCTATACAAAATTTTAACTTTTTAATTTGTTAAAAAAATTTAAAAAATATGTACTAAAAATTTTAAAATTAAGACGAAATTTCATGAAATGACACAATACGGTGTCAAACCAATCTCGGTATAATCAGCATAAAACTTCGCGCAAAGCAATACTAAAAAATAATATGCAAAAGTGTACTAAAATTTGGTACTAAATATTTTTTACTCTGAAAAATATTTTATTTTGTATTAATAAAGCATTTCTATTTATATTTAGTACCACAGTTTTACTTTTTACGGTGTTAAAAATTTTGAAAAGTGTACTAAAAAATGATATCTAAATATTTTTTTATGCCAAAAATAATTATTTTTTTATTAATATATCAATCATATTTATATTTAATACTCCTGCTTTACATTTTAAGGTTTTAGAATTTTGTAGAAAAATTTGTACTAACAGATTTGGTACCTTAAGGGTTCCAAGCTAATCTGTTTCCTCAGTAAACCAAAAATACATAAACCTTAGAAGTATTAAATATGTACTAAAATTTAGTATTAAGTACAATTTGGCTTAGAATCGTATAAGACAATAATATATATACATATTTAGTACTAAATTTTAACAGTTTAATGTATTAAATTTTTGAAAAGAGTTAGTACTAAAAGTTTTGCAGTTAAACGTAAAATACTTGGCACCTTGTTCCAAATCAGAGTTGTAATTACAAAAATCATGTACTAAGATGTACAAAAATTGAATACTAACATTTTTTTTAAGCTGAAATCCATGATAAAGTAATAATATTTATATAATAATATTTTATCTGAACTTCTGTACTGCTAATAAAAAAAAACTGTTAAAGAATTTAGTACTAAAGATTTTGAAGTTAAGATAATAATGATGCTTTCTTAAATGTAAACTCTTTGAGACATTCAGTGGTTCAACTTACTTTCAAAAAAACGCAGCTAGTCTCACACAACCTAAAATAGAACTAAAAATTATGTACTAAAGGGTACTAAAATTTAGTACTAAATTTTTTTAAATAAATTTAAAAAGCTGCATGCATGTCTCACACAACCTGAAATAGTACTAAAATGTATGTACTAAAGAGTACTAAAATTTAGTAAAAAAATTTTTTTGTAAAAAGTTGAGTTCTTAGTAAACGGATTTTTTAACTAAAAAATTTATAACAACAACAATTCTGATAAATCTGA